AGTATGCTTTTTTAGAAAGTCTGCTGTACTTTTCCCCATCGCATTGATCAAAATAACCTTCAACGGCATCTTTAAAGTCCCAGCTTAAATTGATATTGAGTTAAAATATAGATTTCATATCATTTCTAACAAAAGTCCCGAGACTGCGCGTTTTAAACCTCAAAGTCTGCGAACACAAACTAATCTGAAACATATCTCCCTAATATCGATCATGGTCATAGGTTCTTTGGCTGGCGTCCACCTAAAAATTATTCTGGGGTTGATTGGCGCTACCTGTAACAACCGCCTTTTTTGCATAAAGTATGCTAAACGCCTGTTCAAACTTGTTCACGAAAACATAAATGTTGGCCGGGCAAGCCACCTGTTTAGGTCACGTTGTGTAAATCTTGTGTCAACTTTAGAACCAGGCCGTTATCCGGTTTTGTCCTCTTATGCTCCAAGTACTGGAGCTTTGTTGGAACTGACTTCACTTGGTTTTAAATTAAGTGGATGAGACCTAAATGGACCGTTGACAGATAGTGCCAACAACACTTCCAGATGTCGCTATCAGCTTTGAAAGAACATTTCTGTTTACCTACCTATTGTGAATTTCTGCATTTATCTTTAACAGTTATTCGTCTCGTGAAAGTGCCATTCCATTTTGTCACAAAAATAACATCTAGCCTGCATTGGGTACGAAATTGCAGTCTGTATTTAGGAAAGTTTTATATAATGACAAGTTGGAGGTTCACTAATGTCAGTGTGTAGCATATTCTTTGTCTATCTAAGGTGACCACCCTTCGTAGGTGGTATTCGCATGTAAATTCACAAACTTTGCATTAAAAGTGCGCTACGCAGCGTATTTATGCACGCCTTGAAAAGTTCGCCACATAGATCGCCGCAGTTGACGATAATGTATTCATGCACCATTGGGAAGCACTGACTGATCCTCCTTGGGTCCCATAGTTGTTTGGCTAAACCGTCATGCTACGTGAAATGGTGTATCCAGCTTTACGCCGTAGTTAGTGGACTTTTGCCAATCCTGGTAAACGGATTTTGCAAAGTAATGCCTACAACCTAACCTTAACAGAAAGATCAACTTTTACCTTTTCAATCGCAAGAGATGGACATAGATGTAACGGGACTTGCATCCTTTCAATTATTGTACTATTCGTCTGACTGGATGCGGTATCATCTGAACGTTCATGTACACGTTTTCCGACGACGCGCACAAGATCTCAAGGGGAGTGAGTTGCAGAAAAGCCGAAAATGGCAAATGGCACTGGCACAGGAGCTCTAAAATATCGTAAAACCTGATCTGGGCTACGGAAAATCTCCGATCTATAAGCGCTTTGGCAATACTGGGAAATCTCGAGGGAAGCCACCCACGTCGCTGCCTTTGCCATCATCAGGCCCGCACAGGGAAAAGAACAGTACTGGTTAGACGATAGCCAGCACAACAAACAATGACTAATATTTGAGGAAGCTTTGCAATCCGCTGAACCTACTCAAACATCAAAACAGCCCAGAAAACTATCACATGCCTCTAGGGTCGTCTCAAAATGCAGTAGAAGCTGAGTGACATGCAAATTAACGGACTGATTGCAAAGTGCGATTAAATCAGTGGGTAGAGGTAAAATTAAAGG